TTCAGATGTGGTTGGAGAAATTTTTATCAATTTTTTATTGAAATACTTATTGTTGTCAGTTAAATGGTGAAACACATTTGTGTCTTTTTCTATAATTTCAAAAATCTTTTGTTATAGGTTTAGCAATACAACATCAAGCTTCACAATCTAATATAACATAATTAAAGGCCTGTAAAACCGAAAAAAAAAAGAAAAAAAAATGAAGTTTCACAGTAGTTGAAGCTACTTTTGATACAATGAACGAAATTTTCAATTGGTAAACTGAGATTTTAAGGCTTTTTGCAAGAATAACCGAAATACTACTGAAAAAACAACACATTTATGTTTTCTAGTTTTAATGTCAAAAAGAAGATTTAAGTGAACTGATTGAAATCTCAGCACAGTCAGTTTTTCATACTTTCTAAGAATTTTAATTCAAAGAACTATATTTTACTTTACAAATGATCGGTTATACATTTCCTTCTATGCTTCACTTTGTTCTCTGTAAACCTTAATTTTTTTTTTTTTGTTTTTTTCAAAAGTCATGTTGCCTGTTTTTGTTAACTGAATTAATTTAATTCAATTTTGTCATTATAATTAAATGTAGTTAATTGTTCACAAATGATCATGTACACAGCTTTCTTTAAGGGTATGCATCACAAAACAGAGTTTTTAGACAAGCTTTCCAATACGGCTTAACTGTTGAACCAAAAACGAGAAAAAAGTGTTCATTGAAAATTCATAAAAATCTGGTTCCGCTAGAGAAGCACAAATTTTATTGTCAAAACTAAGCGCTTAAATGTAAATGGTGATCAGCAATTCAACAAAATTTGTGTTTAGGCTTTTTTGAATCAAAGTATGATATCAACGTCACACTGGTTCCTAAAAGTGAAAGTAGGTGACACATTGATTTTAAGCTTCTGTATTTTTCATATTTTATAGGCTTTTCAAGCCGATAGTGGTTTTAACATGCAGTATACTTGAAATCTAACTGAAATCCAAAGAAGGCTAAAAAACGTAGAAGGTACAATAAGCGTGGATGCAGAAGCAGGGAAACATGACGGTGTTGTAAATAGATTTATAAAACTTTTATAACCATATACTGTTTTTCTTCTTAACTGAGAAAAGAAATTTTATTTTTCTAAGACTAGAGTTTTTCAGCGATTTTTTTTCACTCTTCTGGACCTATTCCCAACCAAAAGTTTTCTAACTGCTTCTTTCAGGTTACTGTCTACCTGTTGTTTATTTCTACTTTTTTTTTTTATAAGTGTTATTTGGACTTTTTAAAAGCTGTACAGAACACTATCAAGTTGTCTACTATACAGCATAAACGCCAACTATAGTTTTTCATTCCTATTTAGAAATATTTCCTCAACGTCATTTTCCGAAATTTGCCAAGTTTTCCCCATTAGACTACCTGGAAACTTTCTGTCAAATCCACTAAAAAATACGATTTAAGCTATTCTATTTGAGTATGGCAGGAATATATAAATTTATCTACATCTAAGAAAGCAGTTTCTGAATGACAAGGTTGAAACAATAAAGTGAATAATTTATAAATGATTTACTTCCTTGCTTTTAAAGAAGTTCTCCTACTTTATGGTAGGCTAACAGAGCGTCAGATAGCAGAAACTTGAGTTTAACTAATTGAAAAGGTAAACAAAATAAGCCTAAAGCTAGCTTACAGTAAAAAATATGTACTGCTTAAAAGGCATTGAACGTTGTTCAAAACTAAAGTTTGACAAAGTCATGTTTTTAAAAACCTGCACTTTTTCAAAATTTACACCAGTTTTTTTTTTTCTCGTAAAAAACAAAGTCTGTCAATGTTTAGCCTTCTTTTTCCTAGTAAAAAAGTGGTAATTTTCTGAGAATATTTTTAATTACAGTTTCTCGGTTAGATTTTAGATAAACAAATAGGAATTCGCCAAAAAACGACTGGTTGTTTCTGCTACGTTAGTTTTTTAGTTTCTCATCTGAAATCTTATTTAAAGCTACTATCTTTATAAAGTTATTTCTTTAATAAGTTGAGTAGACCTAATGATTTTAAAAAGCAGACAATAATGACAACTAATTCAAAGAGTTTGTCAATTACTGACCAATATAAATGCTGTCGTTGCATCTAAAAAGCAAATGTTTGTTTTCTCTAAAAAGCCACACTGTTTTGAGAGCTTCTAAGAACAATTGTCAAAAGTGCGGAATAAAGCCTGATCAATGTTAAGCTTTAAAAAGCATGTACAAAGTGGCACTGCTTGTCCTTGCCAATTTTGGTGTGTCTGAACAATAGTTAGCATCAGCTCCAAAATGGAAACAGCTGAAGATCTAGAAAAATACTTTGCTTTTTTTACACGAGGCAGCATATGCGCGATCTATGTTATAGATTTTAAAAACTGATGAATTTTTATCAGTATGACTGCAGTTTGATTACTACTTTGCTGCACAGTCAACCAGTTTGGTTCATTCAAATCGATGAATCACTACTGAAAAAAGATTGTATATTGAATAGGTGAATTGTTACAGTCGGCCTGTCAAACTTCTGTCATTTAAGATTCAGTGTCGTTACTTAAACGTAGATAAATAGCTATGAAGAAACGGCTGTGAGAGGAAAATAGAAAAACTGATGATACACATGAGTAGAACAGAAACACACTGGTTTAGGTTTTCAATTTTGGAAATAATAGAAAAAAATTAAAGTCAAATACCAATAATTTTGTAAAATAGATCTCAGTTTCCGCGAATAGTGCAGTTAAACAATTTTATTAGTTTCTGCCTACTATCACTTTACTTCTTTTACTCTTAATAGTCAAATATCATTCACTAATAGCTAGTTTACGAAAACATTTAGCAAAAGACTTTGAACAGGATGAATGCCCTATTACAGGAGCTAGAAAAGTAGTGACTGAACAGTTTAAAAGAACTTGAATCTTAATTTGGCAAAGAATTTTGAAATTTCTTTCTTTTTTTTGAATAAAAGGATGCATTTTTGATTACTTTATGTGAGTAAGTTTCTAATACTGTAAAGTAATTAGTTTTTTTAAGTTTTCGAATACTGCATGAGGTCCCCCTTTATTGTTCCGCTGTTTATTTGATTTTTTTCGCTTTTTTTTTATACATATCAATTTTACAAACCTTTTTGTGCTACACCTATGTGAATCCCGCAATTTGCTAAGAAAGTTTAGGTGACTTCAGCGTAGATCAAATTCAAGACGCACCAAAACAGGTTTTAGACTGATTGAGGAGCAAAAAATCGCTAAATTTAGGTTTAAAAGACTGATCAGAAAAACCTTGTCAAATGAAAGCTTACTAGGTAAAAATCTAGTAAGTTCAAAATTCCAGCTATATACAATTTAATTAAGTTTCTTACTTTTTTACTGATCTTTTATTTTATCATCTATAATGTAAATATAAAAAAACCTAGTAAGTAAAGTCAAAAAATTGTTGAGCAAAGATCTCTAGTAGCTTCATGCTACAACTGTTAGGTTTTTGTGCTGACTAAATCTTTAGTTTTGTATAGTACCAAAAGAAAATTGGCGATTTTTAGACGCTTTTGGTTTTGTAAGCATTTTTTGAGCCTGCGTTTACAAAAACAACAATTTGGGAAGATCAAAATTTATAGAAAAGTATTTTTTTACTTTTTCTGAATTTTTTTTCGGGCATTATTTCTCTGGTCTGAAAACTAATTTTTAGTTTAGGAAATGCCTTTTTTAGTTTTCACAAGTTGATTTCTTGATCAGAATGTGAGAAAACTAAAATGACAATAGAGAAAGCTTCAAACAGCTTCAAATAATTTAACACCATTTAAGCATTCTGTCTATTCAATCAGACATTTAAATTTCCACAGTTATTTTCAGCCTTTTATTTTCAGCAGTCCGCAAAATAGTTGCAAATCAGTTGTTAGGTCATCAATGAACGCTGCAAAATGGAAGTTTCTGCTTTTGAAAGTCATTTTTCTGTCTGTCTCCCTTTGAAGAGATAAGGCGTGGGACACTCTTTGACGCTGCTCGCTTATACTCAGCCTTATACGAGCAGTTTTTGTCACATCTAAGGGTTTAATTACGACTTCAGCAATGTGAAATGACCTTTAAGTAATTGCTATTATAGTTTGGTTGTGAATCTTTCAGCATGGAACAGTATTTTTCCTAGCTGCATCTTTACAGTTCAACGGTTCTTTTTGAACCTGGTAACCTTTTTGGTATCACTTCTCCATATGTTTTTGTGTGTGTGCCAGTTCCATAGTTCTACAAAAGACAACAGCAATGTTTATTTCGTTTCAGTATCCCAAAATGCTTTAAGTAAGTGATTAGTGTATTTTAATCAAAAAGTGGTCGGTGTTTGGGGTAGTATTTTTTTCAACTATCACCAACAAAACGGATAATGTACAGCACCAAAAAAACAAATTGCAATTCAGGTTTACTCGCGTGGCTGTATAACAAAGAACTAAACAGCAACCAAACAGCTCATTTCAACTGTTATCACCTTCTTTTTGTTGGAAAACTTTTTGAACTTCTTAGAGAGCATATCAGTCTTCAAACAAACGATTTTATCACTTCTATTTCCAAGCTAAAGACTGGTAAAAAAACGAGCTTAGCTAATTCAATTCTGTCAAAACTGTCTTCTAGCTCTTCTAAAAAATTACTGGCATTGATTTAGTTTAAACTGTACTCTTTATGACAGTTATAAAACACTTCTCAGTAAGTTGACCTATATTTAGTCGAGCAGCAGAAAAATAAATCACATGCTAGCAAAATGACTGAAAAGAAAAGAGAAAAATTTACTTCTTTTTTTTTTTTAACTGCAGTTTTTAATTGATCAACTACTAGCTATTCAGCGTTAAAGTAGCAAAATCTATATAACTGTATGTTACTTTAGTACCTATAATTCTTTTGACGTCTACGAATTTTTTTAGGCTATAGTCATTTAAAACTGTAAAATACCTAATCATCATAAACGAAGTAAAGCCAATATATCAAACTGTTTTCAAAGCTGAGCAATCTTTATGAAAGTTTTAAACATTCAACTTTGGCTCAATAAAGAGATTCATACACATTTGCGGCCGGTGAATAATAGCTTGGTTGACTGTAAGTGCCAGCACCATATATCAGGCCACTGTATCCAGTTCCATAACCTGTAGCACCATATGAGCCTTGCAATCCGTAGCTACTAATGCTACCGGGTAGGGATTGTGCAGGACCTCTTCCTAGCAGCTGGGCTCCACCAGCAAAGCAAGCTCCAATTACCGCAACTAATATTCCACCACCAACCAGGAGGAGTTGTTGAGCTAAACGGCTTTTCTTTCGTTAAATTTTTTAACACTAATTTTCTCTCATATATATA